GTTTTTGTAGATACAGACTAACACGGCTACCCCCTGATACTTAGCATCATGAATGCAGTTCTGGTCCCACAGCGGCCTCTGGCGGGCAAAAAGCAGAACTGCAGCACTGTGACAGAATGTATTTTCTGTGGGGAAAAAATTCTGTGCATGCACAGTGCCACAGAATTCCCCCAGGAGAAGTTCATCACAGCACCCTGCCTGCAGAGCCAGGTTAGGACAGACAGAGTGGGGCACATAGGGCTGCTGGGGGTCATACACTGGGGGTTCAGAATGTTTAGTGGGGGGATTGGGGTACAGGCTCAGGAGCTAGTGGGGTGACAATGTTAAGCCAGGGGCTGAATGGGAGTGGGGGTTCAAGGCCACATGGGACGGGGACTGCAGGGACACATGGGGATGGGGGAGGAGGCTGCAGAAACCCATAGGGATAGGGAGTGCGGAGACAGAGGCAGATGTGCCTGACTGAATGGGAGAGACTTGGGGTCAGTCAAGGTCTGCATGGGGGAGGCTTCCCAACTCCCTAACAATCCTGCCGCTCCCCCCAAAAAAGCACCCATTCCATACTTCTCCCACCTACACCCAACAACCTTCCAGGTTCACTCCCAGGCTCCTTCCCTCTCCCTCAGCTCCTCCATTACCACTGACTCCCCCAAGCCTTTGCATTGCTTCTGGCAGGTGCAGGAAATACAGTTCTGTATTGTAATTTAAATGAATTACTCAACATTCTGTATTAATATGCCTAGTAAGGAATCTATTTGTAAAAAAAAAAAAAAAATACCAGAATCTTTTTTTTTTTTTGTCTGTATTGTTACAGACATACTTGCTGACAGGTATTTTGAAATAAATTACCAAAATTATTGAAACTGGCATGATTATATTGTTATTTTGAGAAATAAAATATTCAGAATTTTGCAGAATTTTAAAATACTGTGCTCAGAATTTTTATTTTTTTTTGGTGCAGAATTTCCCCAGTAGTAATACACACATGGGGGGCCAAATGAAGGGTTGTAGAGACAACCTTAATATTGGCATTTTCTAACTTTTGAGTGTTTGACTTTACGACCTTACTATGTTCTTTTAATGCAGTTTGTGTTTGTGTGTGCAATTTCCTAGTTTTTTAAAAAAGCAAACTGAAAAAAACAAATTTCATCATGTGGCATCATGCTGACACCACGTGGTTGATCAGCAAAGTGTAACTTTTAGGCTAGGTCTACACTACCCGCCTGAATCGGCGGGTAGAAATCGACCTCTCGGGGATCGAATTATCGCATCTCGTCGGGACGCGACAATCGATCCCCGAATCGACGCTCTTACTCCACCAGCGGAGGTGGGAGTAAGCACCGTCGACGGGAAGCCGCGGAGGTCGATTTTGCCACCGTCCTTACAGCGGGGTAAGTCAGCTGCGATACGTCGAATTCAGCTACGCTATTCGCGTAGCTGAATTTGCGTATCTTAAATCGACCCCTCCCGTAGTGAAGACCTGCCCTCAGATTCACCACACAGACACATGCCTCTTAAGAGTAATGATAGTAATAGTAGGTTGTCATCTTCTATATGGACCAGCACTAAGTCAGATGAGACATGCATCTTTCCAGTGGGTTTCACAGATATTTGCTGACAGCAGAAGAATAGTGAGACTCTGGAATCTTGAGTTTCATTCCACGCTCTGGAGAGGAATATTCCCTTTAATGGTCACAGACACTTCTCTCTGTCCCGCCACCCTAATCCAAGTCTGACCCCTCCAACCTGTTCCTCTTCAGTCCTCCCCACCCCTGGCTCTTTGTCCCAGTCCCATTCTTCTTGGCCAGGCAATCCTAGTCTCTCCCTCAGAGCTCCCTGTCCAAGTCTCAGTCCCAGGCTCCTTGTCCAGCCAGTTCCAGTTCCCCCAACCTCAATTCTTTGTCTCCAGTCTTTTTACCCAGCCAGTCCCAGTTCTGCCTTTACACCCCAGCTCCTCATCAGACCTATCTCCCATCCGTCCCCATTCCCCCACCCACTGGTTCCCAGTCTCAGTGTCCTTGTCCAGCCAGTTCCAGTCTCCTCCCTCCCCTTCAGACCTGCTTCCCCCAACCCACCTTGTTTCTGTCACTAGTTCCCACTCCAGTCTCTGAGTTCAACCAGTCCCCATCTCCCCTCCCAGCCAGTATCAGTCTCCCCAAGCTCCTTGATCCAATCTACTCCTTTCCTTCCCCTTCCAGTGCCCCCTAATTCTGCTCTCAACCTCTCTGCACTAAAGTCATGTGGCTTCCCCCTTCATACTGCCTGGACACCTGATAGGGGGGTGGCGAGTCATTGAAAGCATAAGAGACACAGGATCCCTGCTTTCAATTCAGGTGCCCAGCCATGTGGGGATGGTGCATGCCCAGTCCAGACACATGTATGAGCTCTGAGGGGAGGGAGCAGGGCCAGCTCCAGGCACCAGAGCAGCAAGCAGGTGCTTGGGGCGGCCAACGGAAAGGGGTGGCACGTCTGGCTCTTCGGTGGCAATTCGGCGGCGGGTCCCTCAGTCCCTCTCGGAGGGAAGGACCTGCCGCCGAATTGCCACCGAAGAATGAAGTGGCAGCGGTAGAGCTGCCGCCGATCGCGATCACAGCTTTTTTTTTTCTTCCCTGCCACTTGGGGCGGCAAAAACTCTGGAGTCGGCCCTGGGAGGGAGCATGCTCAGTGAGCACAGAATCTTTGGAGAATTTAGCAGCAAAATTCTATGACATCTCTACTGAGCGTATGTGAACTGTGAAGTTTCAAAGACTGACAACTTGGTCAAATTTGAGCAGATTTTAGGGGATCATCAAAAGATACATCCCTGACACCCAGACCTCCCCATGCAAAATTTCAAGTCCCTGCTCCAAAGCATGGAGGTGCTAAAGCTTCTCAAAGAAGAAGTTGACAGAATGTTAACATTGCAAGCCAGTGTATTTTCCCTACCAGCCTGCATGGAAAATTTCAGCCCTAACGGTTGAAGTTTGAAAGTTATAAGGAGCTGAAAATGGGATTGTATAATGTCTCGTGTTAGGCAAACTTAGTAATAGGGAGTGCTACCAGCCCTGCCTAAAATAATTTAATATTAAGTATTGAAACTGGTTGTGGAGCCAAGGCTAGGGAGGAGGTGAGGATAGGGTTGTGGCAGGCAGGTACAATGTGCACCACACCCTCCTGCCACATGAAGAAACTGCAGCAAAGTTCATATGGTCTGAGGCTGTATTATATTTTGACATGATCTTCGCTGTGCGTCAGCTACAGGAGAAATGTCAAGAGCAGAATCGTGAACTCTATACAACTTTTGTGGACCTCACGAAAGCATTTGACTCTGTCAGTCGCCAGGGCCTGTGGAGGATCATGTCCAAATTTGGCTGTCCAGACAGATTTATACGAATGGTACGTCAATTTCATCACGGTATGATGGCTCGTGTCCTAGATGACAGTGAAACATCTGAGGCCTTCCCAGTCACCAACGTCAAGCAAGGGTGTGTTTTAGCACCCACTTTGTTCAGCATGATATTCTCTGCCGCTTTGACTGATGCCTTTCAACACTGCACTGAAGGAGTAGGCCTGAAGTATAGAACTGACGGGAAACTATTCAATCTGAGGCGACTGCGTGCCATCACCAAGGTGAAGGAAACTGTACTTCGAGACTTTCTCTTTGCCGATGATTGTGTTCTGAATGCTAGTACAGAGCTGGAAATGCAAGCCAGTATGGACAAGTTTTCAACTGCATGCAACAACTTCAGTCTCACCATTAACATCAAGAAGACTGAGGTCATGCACCAGCCAGCTCCCCACGCCCCAGAACCGTCCATCACTGTAAATGGACAGAGACTTCAGACAGTGGACTACTTCACGTACCTGGGCAGTACCCTTTCCCGAGCAGTGTCAATCGATGATGAAGTAAACTGCAGAATTGCTAAAGCCAGCTCTGCATTTGGCCGATTGTGCTCCAATGTTTGGGAACATTGAGGGATCAGCCTACCAACGAAGCTGAAGGTCTACCGAGCAGTGGTGCTTTCAACTCTGCTGTACGCCTGTGAGACGTGGACTGTCTATCGGAGTCATGCACGAAGGCTCAATCACTTCCACATTTCCTGTCTGTGAAAGCTTCTAAAAATCAGATGGCAGAACAAAGTGCCCGATACTGATGTCCTTACTAGAGCCAGTCTGCCGTCAGTTCACACATTGCTGATGAGAGCCCAGACCAGGTGGGCTGGACATGTCGTGAGAATGTCAGACGAACGCATTCCTAAACAGCTCTTCTACGGAGAACTCACTCAGGAAAAGCGCTCCCATGGAGGACAAAAGAAGCAGTTCAAGGACACGCTGAAGACCTCTTTGAAGTCTTTCGAGATCAACACCGCCACATGGGAAACCTTCGCACTGAACCGTCCAGCATGGCACAGCCTCATTCTCACAGGCAGTAATACCTCTGAGGCGAGGCGTATTGCTGAGGCTGAAAAAAAGCGTGACCTGCGCAAGTCCAGAGCTGCTCGTACATTATCGACAGTGCCATTACATGTCTACCCGATGTGTGACAGGACGTTCCATGCCCGAATCGGACTGATCAGTCATCTTCGGACGCACAGAGCCCGGTCATCGAAAGAATGAGTTGTTGAGGTCTTCATCGATAAGGATGGACGAACATCAAGATACTTTGACCAGCCCTCCCACCTTCTTGAGGATTTCAGGGGCAGTCCCAGTGGGAATCCCAAGCAGAGTGGATCCATTGGAGCCATGCACCCAGACCGTAGTGGGAGGAAAGCAATGACAGAATCTAAGTAGGAGCTGGTGAGATTGGTGACAACACAAACGGGGATCTGAAAGAGGAGATGAGAGAGACAACGGGGAAGAAGTGGAAATCAGAGACAACACAGTAGGGGGGAAAATACAGAAGCGATAAGAGAAAACAGAGAAAAGTGTAAAAACGAACAGAAAGGGAAGAAAAGACACATAAAGTCAGGTTGTTCAGGGTGGTAGCCATGTTAGTCTGTATCAGCAAAAACAATGAGGAGTCCTTGTGGCACCTGAGAGACTAGCCTCTAAGGTGCCATGAGTACTCTTCATTGTGTTTTTTTAAATAAAGACTGATAAACCATTTGTCTAGAAACTAGTCAGAGGAGCTGTTAGTGAAAAGAGATGGCGCATCCATCCTTGACTGAGGAATTAGACTATGCCAAGAGCAATGGGGAAAATTCAAATCCATGACACTTTATGATATCCTCACATTAAGTTGAATGCAGACTGGATAGAGGAAAATTATATATGCAACTTCTGTATTAGGCCATGGAAACTTTACAAAAGTCAGCTTACAAAGTGAAGCCATAGCAAGCTGGAAACTCTAACTATTAGCCAGAAACTGGTGTAGACTCTTGGTGTACACCTCAAAGTGCTTTGTGATTAGGGTTGCAATTTTGGTTGGACGAATTCCTAGAGATTTCATCACATGACATAATCTTTAATTCCTGGCAACTCCAGGCCAATCCCGGAGGGTTGGCAACCCTATTTATGACACACGAGGCCAAAGGCCCAGCGCCTTCTGCACCCAGAATCATGAACTAATAGCTTAGGCTTTGTCTACACTTGAAAGTTATATCAGCATAGTTACGTCAGTCAGGGGTATGAAAAAACCACAGCTCTGACCAATGTAGCTATGCCGAAATAACATCCAGTGTAGATGTAGCTATGTGGACAGAACAATGCTTCCGTTGAGGTAGCTATCATCGTTCAGGGAGGTGGTGTTCCTACAATGACAGAAAAAAAACGTTCAGTCACTGTAGGCTGTGTTTACTCTAGAGGGTTATGCTGGTATAGTCTCCGCAGCGTACACATACCCTCAGTAATGCATACCCTGGAGTGGCTCATTTCTGTTGGGAATATGGCTTAGTAAATTTAGGTTTAGTCTTTAAAAAACGACAAATCAATTTTATGGAGGTTTATGTAACATATCCTTCCAGAAGGGAAATTATTTCCCAGTGAAAAAATTGGAGAAAATAGGGAAAAGTTATAAACATTTTTCCCCTAACAAGTTGAATATATGAATAGTTTAATTTTTTTCCTGACAATTTCTCTCTAAGATTCCCTGGGCTATGTAGTCCCCTTCTCCCCATCCCATCCTCTACAGAGAGGCAGATCTGTGAGGTTGTGGGAAGGGGCTGAAGAAGGAAAAGTGTCAGTTTTAATCAGTAGTATAGTCAAGGATAAACAGAGTTGCCCATTTCTCATTTGGGAAATATGGAGTTTAGTTTAGGTTAGCTTACCTACTTCTTTTTTTACTTCTACACCACTGTTTTAAACTGACCCATCCCACACAATGTGACAAATCGCCCTTTCAAAATCAATTCACTAAATGTTCATTAAGCAACAGTTGGCTTTAACAAGAGAAAATGGCTGAAAAAGCAGATTGGCATTTTGGGCAGTTTAGCAATGCCCTCTCCCAACATCTGACTGGTCCTAACTGTCCCCAGAGAGTATTTGGGTTACCTTTGTTCCCCTACTTATCCCTCCCCCTATTTAACAAACTTGGTGTAGGGATGATGAGGTCACAGCCATGCCATAGAGAGTGCTGATGAACAGCTATGACATCATCAGAAAGGCCCAGCTGGCCCTGCAGATTGTGGCTTTGGACAATCAGTGTCCCCAGACCAATACTCCACAGTATCATTCAGAACTATTTCTGCCAGATTATGTGGGACTTAACCTCTTTGTACCAATGATACAGAGCAATTACTTGACTATCGTGATATTTGCTGGAGTCACTACAAGATTCAAATAGGATGTGTTTTAGAATCATTCAACAGTTTGTTTTTGCACATGCAGAAAACACTTTCTTTTTATTTGGATACCAGCCCTTTTGTGATAAAAGCGCAACCCAAGACACAATGAAGTAAATTGTAATACGCTAAAATCTCTCTCTCTCTCTCTCTGTATATATCTATATCTATCTATCTATCTATCTATATATTAGGGCTGTCGATTAATCGCAGTTAACTCACGTGATTAACTCAAAAAAAATTAATCACAATTAATTGCAGTTTTAATAGCACTGATAAACAATAGAATACCAATTGAAATGTATTAAATATTTTGGATGTTTTTCTACATTTGCATATATATTGTATTCTATCTTGTAATTGAAATCAAAATGTGTATATTATTTTTGATTATAAATATTTGCACTGTAAAAGTGATAAACAAAAGAAATAGTATTTTTCAATTCACCTCATACAAGTACTATAGTGCAAGCTCTTTGTCGTGAAAGTGCAACTTACAAATGTAGATTGTTTTGTTTTTGAGTGCAGTTATGTAAAAAAAAAAATGTAAATCTTCAGAGCCTACAAGTCCACTCAGTCCTACTTCTTGTTCAGACAATTGCTGAGACAAACAAGTTTGTTTACATTTACAGGCGATAATGTTGCCCTCTTCTTATTTTCAATGTCACCAGAAAGTGAGAACAGGCATTTAGATGGCACTTTTGTAGCCAGCATTGCAAAGTATTTACGTGCCAGATATGCTAAACATTTGTATATCCCTTCATCATGTGTTGTAATTGAAATCAATATATTTGAAAATGTAGAAAATATCCAAAAATAAATGGCATTCTATTATTAACAGTACGATTAATCCTGCGATTAATTGTTTTAATCACAGGATTAATATTAGGGCTGTCAAGCTATTAAAAAAATTAATTGATTAATCTCTCGTTTAAAAAAAAAATCACGTGATTAATCACACTGTTAAACAATAATAGAATTCAATTTATTTAAATATTTTTGAAAAATACTATTTCTTTTATTTATAATTTTTACAGTGCAAATATTTGTAATAAAAAATAATATACACTTTGATTTCAATTACAACACAGAATACAATATATATGAAAATCTAGAAAAACATCCAAAATATTTAATACATTTCAATTGTTATTCTATTGTTTAACAGTGGGATTAAAACTGTGATTAATCATGATTAATTTTTTTGAGTTACTTGTGTGAGTTAACTGTGATTAATCAACAGCCCTAATATAAATATATACACAGGGCCAGCTCCAGGCACCAGCCTGGCAAGCAGGTGCTTGGGGCGGCCACTCTGGAGGGGGGCGGCACGTCCAGCTATTCGGCGGCAATTCGGCGGCCGGTCCCTCACTCCTGCTCAGAGCGAAGGACCTCCCACCGAATTGCCGCCGCAGATTGCGATCGCGGCTTTTTTTTTTTTTTTTTTAGCTGCTTAGGGCGGCCAAAACCCTGGAGCCGGCCCTGTATGTGTATGTGTATGTGTATATATATAAAAATCCACAAATATTGTCAAATTCACAAGGCCTGTTCCAACAGCATTGTCTGCATGATTGGCTTTAAAATTGTTTCCCCTCTCTCCCTCTGTCTGCATTTTGTCCTTATAGGGCCACACCCCTGTAATCAGATGCGTACAGATGGACCCCTGCACCCACAGACACCTAGGGCCTTGGGCTCCAATCTTGCAAACACTTATGTATGTCATTAACTTTACTACAACAAGTAGTACCATGAGTTTATGATAGTAAAGTTTTTGCAGGATTGAAGCATTACATAGTAAGCTCTTCAGAGCAGAGAACTTTTCCTCTTGTATCTGTGTAAAGTGCCTCCCACATTTTAGGTGCCAGCTAAGTAAATAAAAATATCTGAGGGCTAACCATTAATCTTTGACACTCATTTTCTTATACCAACATAAATCTAAAGAAAGAATGAGATAAGTGGATTGACATATTTGTTCAAAATTCCAAAATACATGGGATGAAATTCTGGCACTATTCAAGTCAATGGTAAAGCTCCCATTGACTTCAGTTGAACCAGGATTTCATGCACAGGCCTAGTCTACACTTGATTTTTCAGTATAAGTATACTGGTATAGCTATTCTGGCAAACCCTTCTAATTTAGACACAACTTATATTACACAACAAGAGTGCTGTTGTCTGAACTAAATAAAACTATACCTGCCAACTCACTTTTTTGCCAGTATAACTGAGTCCTCAATAATGCTTTTCCCAGGACAAAAATATTGGAAAGAAATCACATGCCTAACTGATATTACAATAGCAGCGAAAGTTTTGAGCTTAGACCTGGCCACAGTCCACATATGTTCTGTAGAGTTCTACTATTTAAAAAATTAGGTTGTGAAATGAAAAACATGCTATTTGGGAGGAGTTAAAAGTGGTACGTTTATATAAATTCAAAGTAGATATTGAAATTAGTTTTGGTTCTTACTTTGATGACTGTTCATCCTCAGTCTTCTTCTCAGCTGTTACACCAGGTGCCATTCTATACAGATAGACCTGAAGGAAGAAAACAGTGTATGGTACTTCAGTGACAAAATAAGGCCTTGATCCTCCAAAGATCTACACGTATGCTTAATTTTACACACTGCGTAGTCCCATTTTAAAATTAGTTTAATTAACTGTAACACAGATGTTGCATCTAGTCTATATAGGCATTAATCTTAACTCCAAAAAATTAAATAAAAACATTAATAATAAGTTCCACACATAATACAGCCCCTTCAAAAATTGTGAAATTTCAACAATGTGACCATCTGACCATTAGATTTTTTTTAAATATGCATTTACCCAAAATTAATATGGACAGTTTTACAGCTGATGCCAGTGGATTAAATATCCCTGCATCAGAACTTGAACTACACAAAGACATTTTTGTCATTCTTATGCAAAATAGAATTGACACATTCTGTATGACTAAGACAAATTATAAAATGTCGTAAAGGAAGTTCTGCATCATTGCTGAGCCCAAATCCTGTAAGTAAAAAATACATGGGAAGTGAACACTATTGAGTCAAATCTCTTCCTTAAAGAAACACTCAACCTAATGACTGCAATAGAAGGAAAGAGTCAGATTTTGCAACAAAATTACAAAATAAATTATTTCCGAGAAAGAAACAGAGAAGATCTGATGAAAAAAGCCTGAATATTTACATGTGGAAAAAGAGAAGTGTGTTGCCCCTTTTTGACTCCAGTGGCTAGTGAAAAGTTTGGGGGCCTGGGGATGTTCCAGCTGGAAGTAGAAATTGATGGAGTCCAGTATTTTTCTTCGATGCAGTCTGTTTACTAACAAGGAATGAGCAAAGTCCTGTGTCTCTGAATATGGAAGGAACCAAGAACAAAAGGAGCAATTTCTTAGGGCTGGTCCACACTGGGGCGGGGGATCGATCTAGGAAACGCAACTTCAGCTACGAGAATAGCATAGCTGAAGTCGACGTTTCCTAGATCGAACTAAGTTTACTTACTGCGGGTCCACGCGGCGCAGGCAAGCTCCCCCGTCGACAGCGCTTCCTCCTCTCGGCGAGCAGGAGTTCCGCAGTCGACGGGGGAACACTTCTGGGATCGATTTATCACATCCAGATGAGACGCGATAAATCGATCCCAGAAGATCGATCTCTACCCACCGAATCGGGTGGGTAGTGTGGACCTACACTATGGACCTTACAATGACACAGATGTACCGCTGCAGCTGTGCCGCTGTAAGGTCTCCTGAGTAACTGCTTTATGCTGGTGGGAGAGAGCTCTCCTGTCGACATAATCAAACCGCCCTCCAATGAGTGGTGTAGCTGTGTCGGCGGGAGAGCATCTCCTGCTGACATAACACTGCCCACACGGGTGCTTTTGTCAGTGAAACTTTCAGTTGGGGGGGTGTTCTTTTTGCACCCCTGACCGATAAAAGCTTTGCCAACAAAAGTACTAGTGTAGACAAAGCCTTAGTCTCCACCCCCACGCGTCATGAGCCAACACCAGACCCAAAAGTGCTCTCTCTAGCTTTTTTCCAGGGTCACACTGTGATTAGAGGCTCAGAGCTCCTACTTGGCTTTCTTGCCTCTCCCTCTGTCTCAGTTTGTATGTGATCTCTACCCACACACACACACACACACACACACACACACACGCCCCTCTGTCCTCAGTTTGTGTGTGATCTCTCTCTACACACCCACACACACAACCTACCCATAATAATATTCAGACAAAAGTTCCTGTGCAGGTTCACATAGGGCAGGTTGTTTTAGGTGGGGGCTTATGCTCACAGTTATGTTAACTGGGGTTTTAACTCAACTTATAACAGGTTTTACCCCGCTCATAACAAGTTACTGAGTATTGGAAATGTGCTGATGCTTAGAGGAAGGGTTTTTCCTTTATTTAGGGTAATCAGCTTTATCAAAAAAAACTATATTAAATGTATAGAGACATTGCAGTAAACTATAAAAGTACTGGGTCAAATTTCATCACCAGTTACACTGGTCCAACTCCATGGACTTGCCTCTGTGGTTATAGTCAGGCATCATTACAAGTACTTAATAGAGGAAGAACATAATTGTTAAATGGGTTAATGTTTGCATAAAATCATGCTACAATTCTTAGGCAATTATTGATCCAAGTATGTGAGAGAACTGGAATTATATTATTTCCAATAATAAGAATGTATAATTGTATAACTAATATACAGGCTGCATTTGATCCCAGATGGAGAAGGAGTCTTTCACATCCTGTTTAGTGCCTAAACTGATGAATGATTAAATGATTTTTGAAGTAAATTTTCAACTATTTAAATTATTTTCAGGACTTTTAATTTTGGAGCTTTAATCCTCTTTACTAAGGAATCAATATTCACTTCAATACGCTAGTGTGTTATAGATCGCTAGATACATAGATTAATAAAATCTACTAAAATAGAAAACATTACTTAAAAGAAAAATTTCCATTTATGATAGCCATGGAAACTATTTTAACAATCTTCCTTTTCTATGATACCAGTGACATTAGATAGGTGTTAAGAAATTATTGTTTTCTGAAGAAGGTACACAGTATATAGTACAAAACAGGTGCAAATTTCAAACCTAGAAGTAGACTCCCTATTTTAATCAGTGTTCAGATCTGATGATTACTATTTTACAACTATGCAAAGCCCATAATTTTTACTGTGGCTTTCTTTGATTAATGTCTTACTAGTATTTTTTTAAAGTAGGAGCTAATACTCAGGTTCTGATCCATCTCCTATTAAACTCATTGGAATGACTCCTGCTGACATTAACAGGAGTTGGTTAGGCCCTCAATTTGCAGTATGAGCATATTTTTCCTCATCCTTAAGTGATTGCTTCCATTATATAGCACTTCTGCAGCAGGCTTTCCCTTCATATTGTATGCATACTTATATATCACTCATATAATGATAGTTCAGTATAGGTTTCTTCACGTGTATAAGGAGGAACCTGTAGCTGATCTGTTAGTCTAATTGTGAAACATGGGTATACTTTGCTCCAAAGAAAAACTACCTCCCGAGCCAAACATCTGACCCCATAAAGCTCTCTACCAGTACCAGCAAAAATTCTGGCATTTCATAAAAGAACAGTACAATGCTGTTGGTTTTAAGATTCATTTCCTCATCAGCAAGGGGAGGAACATAAGAACGGCCATACTGGGTCAGACCAAAGGTCCATCTAGCCCAGTATACTGTCTACCGACAGTGACCAATGCCAGGTGCCCCAGAGGGAGTGAACCTAACAGGTAATGATCAAGTGATCTCTCTTCTGCCATCCATCTCCACCCTCTGACAAACAGAGTCTAGGGACACCATTCCTTACCCATCGTGGCTAATAGCCATTAATGGACTTAACCTCCATGAATTTATCCAGTTCTCTTTTAAATGCTGTTATAGTCAAGAAAGACAAATAAATGAAATCCCAGTTCCCACAAAGGGCTTCCAGTACTGGAATTTTAACTAGAAATGCCGTATATTGGGCACAATAGCAATCGACACACTACGCATCTCTCTGCACAGTCAAAGGAGGGCATTGCTTGGCTTCAGTTGCATCAGCTGTAACCTACCTTGCTTGGAAGGAGAAGCTGAACTCCAGCGGCTGCCCAATTCCAGTCGCTCTCAATAGTATTTGAATGGCACAAGCTGTTGCACTGGTTTTCAAGCTGGAAAAGAAACAGGGGAGTCAGGTCTCTGGCAGAGGAGGGAAGAGATGGGTGCTGCTGCTGCTGCTGCTGGACCAAGCTCCGGGACTAGGGAGCGGCAGGAAGTGTGCTAGCAGCATGCCCTTAGCAACGGCACGGATACTTTACACTCCTCCCTCGCTCCGGTTCCAGGAAACCTAGCGCCGTAAGCACCTTGCTCTATGTCCTCAGTGCCCCTTCCTGGCATCGCCCAGCCCCGCCGCCGCTCGGGCTCCTCCTGTCCTTCTGGCCCCGGGAAGGGCACGTAGCCCCGCCCCAGCGCTGCTGCAGCGGCTCTGCCTGGCCCCCTCTCGCAGCCTGCGCCGTGTGGAGAAGGGCAGGAGAAGGGTCGCTCACCTGCGGCAGGTGAGGGATGCGGTTGCTGCTGCTGCGGTGCCTCTCGGGTCGGTACCGGCTGGGGGCTCTGGTCTCCCTGCGTCCCCGTCCCCGCTGCCTTCTCCGCCTGGTGCTGCTGCTGCTGGGCTGGCTGTTGCCACCGCCACCTGCTGCTGCCGTGCGACAATGCACGGAGGCGCGGCGGTGTCTGGGGAGAGGCGGGGCCCTTCCTGGCCCTGCGGGTCGGGATGAGTTGTCTGTTTCTCCAGCCCAGGCTGAGCAATGCTGGAAAAGCCGGGCCGGAGACTGTGACTGTGACGGGGGGGGAGGGTTTCAGCCTGTGGTTTCCCAGGATGTGCCTGTGACGTGTGTGTATGCAACAAAGGGTGTGTGTGAGTGTGTGTGTACAGCAGGATAGCTGTGTGTTTCATTCTGTGTGCATGCTGTAACTGTCTGTAACAAGATGTTTGTGCAAGTAACTGTGGGTAACGGCAATGTATGTGTGTGTGTCTGTATGGACTAGGGAGTGTTAATTACGTGTGTGATAAGATGGGTATATAGTCAATTTATTGTGTATCAGGAAGTATGTGTGTTTACAAGTGTGTATAATTGTGTGTTTAAAACTGTACATACCCCAATACACACACAATCACACAAGTGTAACAAATTGTGTGTATTTGGCCTTGTGTATATTAGGACATGTTTAACTGTGAGGGGAATTGGATGTATATGACTGTGTGCGCACAATGGGATGTGTGTTTACTTTTGTTTCAGACCAGGTGGGGGAGGTAATATATTTTATTGGACCAACTTCTGTTATTCTGTTGTTGATCCATTAAAAGATATTACAGCCCCTAGCGTATCTCTCTAATATGCTGGGACAGACATGTCTAAAACATAAAATGATGCAGTGTTGTTGAACAGGATGTGTAGATGTGTGTGTACCATTCAAATGTGCACAGTATGTGTATACAGTAGCACAAATTCAGGTCCCTTTGAAGTCAATGGGGGATTTGCCATGTAACCAATATTTTTCAATGGGATCAGGCTCTGAGCCAGCATGTATGTGTATGGAGTGAGTGTAAGCATACATGTCAATTTCTTTCTAGAGTTTGCATATAATGTATAAACTAGATTTGATGGCATATGTACCACCATGTGTCTAAACAATTTGACCTTGATCCACAAAGGGACTTAGTCATTGCAACACTGAACATAATGGCACCTTTTAGACACCTAAAAAATCACAAAAACAACACTGCAATACACAGAACCTGAGTTAGTTGCTCAGGTTCCCTATGCAATGAATGGGGAGAGATAGGAAAGCAATCCACAAAAGCTAGCATGCTTAGAGGGAAGCTGCTTAATCTAGCCAATCCCTCCCTGCTTTGGCAAAAAAGCGGAAATGTTATTAATAGGAAACAAAGGAGGTGAACCAAGATAATTTAAAACATTAGCAATCTTAATCCATATTGACCCAAGTATGGTAGGAGAATGAGTTGTTTAAAAGACACATATATCAGATTTGGAAATAATTGGAGGGGGCAGAAATCAGTTTTTCCCTTTAAAATGGTGAATTGTTTAATTTCCAAGCAATGTTGTGTTGCATATCACCACAGAATCAGATTTTCAACTCTCGGGAATATGTTTAGATAAGCATTGAGGCACTCCCCATGGTGATGAGCACCATCAAAATATCTATAAATAGGTTGCATCTATAAACTGGATGTCAGATTTGATATTTGGGAAAATGGAACAATGAGGAGTGCAGTTGAGCCTCTCTACAAATAAGATTTTTGTAGGATTGATTTTATTTAATTGAATGGTTCTTGCTCACTTACCATTGGCATTGCTCCAGAATCATTTCCTTTAATACTTGTGTTCTTGCAGACAGGAAGATCAGGATTTCCCTAAACATACTTCTCTTATTAATTGATTGGCACAGCAGGAAAGTGGGTGAGAAGAAAAAAATTCCGATCGCTCCTGCTGTCTCCACATTTTGCTTCCTTCCTAGACTTTGTCTTATTAAGAACTGAGTCAGTCACAGACATGCCTAAGTTCTAGGGTGACCAGATGTCCCGATTTTATAGGGACAGTTTCGATTTTGGGGGCTTTTTCTTATATAGGCACCCAATACCCCTCACACCATGTCCCGATTTTTAACACTTGCCCTCTGGTCACCCTGCTAAGATCACTGCAGGGTATGTCTACACTGCACCTGAGAGCGAGCCTCTCCCCCGCCCCCATGTAGACTGACTTGCACTAGTGGGGCTTGGCTTGAGCTAGCCCATTCAAAATAGCAGTATGAACCTTGGGGCTTGGGCTCTCAAGCCTACAGGGAACAAGCTGCAACTGGAGTCACAACATCCACTCAGATATTCAGGGGTGGCACCAGCCTCTTCCCGGGGGGGGGGGGGGGGGGCTGAGATGGGCCAGACAGAAAATTCAGGGGGGGCTGTGCTCCCCCCACCATGAGACTTCACCCCCTCCATGGCCCCACCCCCTTCATGGCCCTTCCCCCTGCCCAGGTCAGAGGCTGAAAGCTGGAGTGAGGCAGTGCAGGGTGCTGGCTGCTCACAGCTGGTAAGACCTGCCTGGGTAGGGGGACCCAGGTTCAGGGCCAGCAGAGCCCTTGGGAATCAGCGACCATGGGGAGAGGGCCCAGTAGCCTGGGCCAGAGTGGGTCAGTCCACGCCACTGTGGGGAGTCCTGGACCCTGGGCGATGCACCCTGGCAGGCGGGGACACAGACTGAGGGCTGCTCTCAGGGACCCCAGCCTCCCGCCCGGGCGTACTTCTCCGTTGCTGCTGGAGGTGTGCGCCCAGCCAGCAGCTGCCACTCTCTCTGCTCTGCCTTCAGAGTTGGGCAGCTGCAGAACAGCAGCTGCTACGGGGTGGCTATGGAGGGGCTAATGAAAATTTTGGGGTGACTATAGCTCTCAGTAGCCTCCCTCAGTGCTGCCCTGCTGATATTTTTAGCGTGCTGACTTGAGCACTGCTAGCACAAGTCTATCTACTTGGGCTGGGAGGCGTGCTCCAAGTTGCGGTGTAGACATAGGCTAAAGGAAATTGACCACCACTATTGGGCTTCTTCGTAAATATCACAACTCAGGACTAAGGAATCCCACAGCCTCCCTCAGGGAAGACATACTGAAGATGTGGGAGCTTCTTAGCTTCCTTAAATGCCCCCTCGGAGTTGTAGATAAGAAGCAAGCTACTGCCAAGCAGTCTCTTACTGAAGTTAATTCCTTTGGTAAACCCCATATGACCCATGTGAATAGAGCATCCAGTGTCCAGAACTAACAGAACTGTATATTGGTGGGCAGTTTCACCAGCCAGAGAAGGGATGCAAATACCATGCCCAAGTCTTTTTAAAGCCTTTGCCCCAGGGCATGATTTATTGTTTGAAACAAAGGGCTTAAACAGCACCATAATAAAACAACATAATTAAGGGATTGTCTTCACTGCAAAGTTAACTTGAGTGTTGCCCCTAATTTGAGTCCCATCCACACACACAGACAAACTCTGAACTGGAGGATGTTTAATCTAAAGCTCAAGTTATCACAGCTCATCAGTGGCTAACATGACCACTCTGCAATGTGGACACAAGCTAACTTCACTCTAGTGCCTCTAGGCCTCCAATCCCTTCCCACAATTCCTACCATCTGCCCAGAAAGGACAGACATTCTCCCACAATTCCCTGGGAAAGAATTCATAAAGTGGCTCCGCTTACTGCAGTGCAAAGAACCATGGGACAACCCCCCAGAAACACTAGCAGCACACACAAGGGGGTGCAGCACCAGTGTGAACACAACAGCTTGTGTATTATTTTGCAATGTAGCTATTCTCACTTGAGCCAGGCAACTGGAGCATAGGTACTTCAGTTAACTGCAACAAAGAGAAACTCTGACAAATGCTGACTATACGCCCCAGAGGCACAGTCTCCCTCCACCTGCCCAAAAAAAAAAAAAAAAAAAAAAAAGAGAAAACACACCCTTCTGCTTAGCTTTCTTTTTCTTATATACCCCACCCAGTTACATGATAGGCTGGGATCTTGTAAACCTTTGAAGGCTGCTGCTTCACTTTGTCACCAGGACATTCAGATAGGAATTCTCAGGCACATAAAGAGGTCAAATAGCTCTCCAGGCTACTTTCTACTGGAAACTAATGAAAGGTTAGAAAAATATGCACTTAGTAGAACCAAATGGAGGAATATATTCAATTTACAATTCTTTCTTTACCTAAAGATGTGAGCTTAAAAAGTTAATTAGAAAGTATTCTTTAACATTATAATTTGAAAGATCTAGCTAAAAAGATATCCTTAAAGCTCATTTATTCTTCAACTACAATACTGCCTGCTATTCTGTTCTGTATTTAGTATTCTGTATAATATCAGGTTGTGACTCAATGTAAGCCCTTTGGGGCTGGGAACCAGTTACTTGATTGCCACAGCTCACCAACTGAACAAGTCTGTGTACACCAGTAGTGCAATAAGAATATGTATTTTGGTAGAAATTAAACAGTTAACTGTAATATGCATATTATACTTACAATCTAGGTATTAAAAGGGTGTTACATTCTTAAAATAAATACTAATTATACAACAGTATTTTGCAGAAAAAAATAGCTGCTGCATTACCTGGAGAAGGAACAGGGGCTTTTCTTTGAGGTGTTGGAAGAAAATGTAGGGTACTGAAAACAAATATATTTTATTCAGTCATCCAGTGTAAAATAGTGAGGATGTGGATTCAGGAGATTTCCCTGTGTTCCTACAGACTTTCTGTGTGACCTAAGCACTTAGACCCATATCTAAGACCCAAATTGCAAAGGAGTATAAGCTAAAAAAAATCAAATCAATAATGTGATTGCTATTGAGAAAATACACAATATATTTAAAGTAAAAGCAATGTAAGAATCATCGGGATACCAAAGACAGAAGTGAAAAATTGTAAAAGACACAAAAATAAACAAGAAAAAAGTTCCCAAGTATTTAAAGAACAAGAGGTCAGTGAGAGAGACTTCAGGCCCCTTGTGACACTATTGGGAAAACATGACAGATGTTGCTGAGAAGCTAAATGTTTTCTTTACCTCAATAAGGAAAATGATAAAAATGTGCTAGGAGTGGAGATATATATATTTCCCAGGGGCAGGAAGTTTGGGGCCCAATCCTGCACTCTTCACTGAGGAAAAACTCTCA